CCCCCCCCCCCCCCCCCCCCGGTGTTTGTTAGACAGCATGCATTCAGTCTTACAGTTCAGTGGTTTAGGTGTAATTAAATATTTGCACGGGGTACTAAATTAATGACCGAAGAGTTAACGACTGTAAAACTTAATCATTCTCTTTTAGCTGATACCCTAAGCAGCTGCTCTACCACTGCACTAGAAATCTGGCTGTGCCCTGCAGGTTTTCCTGGTAACAGCTTCTGAAGCATATGCAGCAATCTTCTGGTCTACTCCAGTGAAGTAACAGGTCCCTCCACACGTCTCTCAGCCCCTCTCAACCAGGCTGTGCGGGAAGTTAAGTCCTCCCTCGCCTTCTGTGGAGAGTGAACCGGCTTCTCAGCACAATCAACATGGATACTAGCCAGCGGCCATCATTTACTCACAAGTTGATCTTTGTGTGGCACGCGCCTCTACTCATGAGGGTTGTACTAACTCTGCCTGGTACGATGACAGAGCTACAAAGCTGCCTGGCAACCAGGAGGGGTTTAATTTTCACATTCTCCAGTCACATCTTACTGGAGCCAACTTTTGCTTTGTAGGCATCACCAGTCTACCCCTCCACCCAATGTGCCAGCCCATCAGGTCTGTCCAGGACTAACATCAGCTAAAAGAGATAACTGTGCTCATGTTTTCCTGTTACACCTTTCCTTGCCACGGCTGACTTGTAGTAGACTCTACAGCACTCTTCGGACCTTGCAACATGTCAAATTCCCTGCTGTCAAACTGATGCGGCCAGGCAACATCTAACTCTTATCAGTTTCATTTGGTTCACAAGTCTCTCTCTCTCTCTCTTTCTCCCTCCCTCCCTCAAGCATAAGGTCTTTGGTCACCTCACTGCTTTTGCATTTGCTATGTGCTGGGCTTCAAAATGTTTACCAAACACCTGCCCAACAGGCTCCACTGCTGTTCTGTGTGCTATGTCTCTCCTAGAGACATAGCTCCTATGAAAATCACAGCAAAAGGGGATTCTAGGACCAGAATGAAGGATGGTTTCAGGTGACAGATGCTACAGCTGAGCCAGGCAACTCGGGGAGGGTGTGAATTGAGATCTGCTATGACGATACATAACGAAGCAGAAGATTACCAAGCAGGGTCAGAGAGCAGGTTAAAATGGCCTACGGAGGGTGGGGCCCTGTGACCCACTCATTTCTTGTCAAGACCTGGAACAGTAGGTCTTGATGTATGCTGAAAGGGTAGGAATGGGAAAGAAAGGGACAGCTCGAATTCTCAAGTAAGAATATGCCAAATGGCGCTCTGAAAAACATAAAAAACAAAAAACAAACAAAACCTAAGCAATTAAACAGAAACAAGAGCAGCAGCAGCAACTTGTCCTGTGCCCCGACTTTTCTGGGACCTTCTATTTATTACTTGTATGAGGATTCTGCTATATTCCGAGTAAGGTGAAACATAGCGGAATTGTGCTTGTATAATTCTAGATTCCCTGGTATACCTGTGGAGATGAAAACGAGCTTGCTCCAGAGCAGAAAGAATGCAGTGTGACTATTGGGACAAATTTAAGGACCCACGCAATGACCTATCATAAAAAAGAATTTTCCACTTGGTCACGACTCCCTTCTATTTTACTTCAACTAACTATTTGGCAAGAGCCTCTTTGGGATATTGGACATCTAGACAGAATGATTTTCCAGTCTTACGCTGTATACGGATCCTAAGCTTGCCTCCCGGGGTGACAGAGGTAAATAACAGTCCTAAACGCCTCCAGGATGGCTACGCCGCGCTGCGGGGCGTTCCCTGCGTGACCTTTGTCCCAGAACGCCGTGACCTCCGTGCCCGGCCGCCCGATGGCAGCGCCCACAGCCCGTCCGCGGCTCCGAGCTCCGCGCGCGGCCCGCCGGGAGCCGTAGTCTGCGGGCCGGACTCGCTCTGTGCCCCGGGCCGCCGCCTCCCCGCGGACGCCGAGGTGACTCACCAGCGTGAGCGCCGCCCGCGTGGGCTGCAGCTTCCTCTTGCTCACGGCCCGCACGGTGGCGCGGACCAACGACGCCGACATGTCCACGTCGCGGTGCCCGCAGCCTCGGGCTGGAGCGTGGGACCTCAGCCTCTCTCCATGGACACGGCGGGCGCTTTGACGCCACAAGCTTCTGCGCAGGCGCCGCAGGCCCCGCCCTCTACCGCCCGCCCCGCTCCACCATTGGGTCAGTCCGAGTGATTGACGGGCCGGGCCGCAGGCTGTCACTGCTGACGAGCACGGGAGGTGACCTGTGACCTCGCGGGCTTCGCGGTCACTGGGCTACCGGAAGTGGAATGGCTTCTTCCGTATGGCACACTCTAAGGACAGGCCCCCGGAAGTGGGAACACGGTTCTTTGACCCTGAAGCCCTTCTAATAGTGAAATAACCGAATAGACACCGTGCGACCAGTTTCCAGCTATTGAAATGCTACACTGTGTAGCAGTTTGTACATGAAACCGAGCACGTGACCTGCCAGCCTTCCGACTGTTGAGGCTGGAAACACGGGCACGGTAGCTTTCTCCCAGCCTTACTTAAAGTGTCCTGGGCGCTATGTTAGAACCAGTTCTTGAGTCCCGATCCCGGGTCCCGTGCACCTTCAGCTAGCCTTGCCTGCCGGCGGTTCCCATTTCATTAGCTGTACGCAAGCAGACACGCCGCGGCTTCCTTCTGGGCCTGTGCGGCGAGCTTTCGTGCTGACGTAAGAACAGGAGCTCTCCTTTATCTCGCAGCAGCAGCTGCCGGGGTGCTGGGACGGGGTGGGCGTGGGGAGTACTGAAGGTGTTCACCAGCTGTAATCATCCTTAGGGTTGCAGGAAGGTTGAGGGAGGGAAATGGTACTGCACTTCAGCATTTGGCCTCGGGTCTAGACCTAAGTGCTTTCCCAGAGCGGTCTCCTCACTGACCTAAAAGGGGCAGTTTCCCTTTTATAGGATAGAAAGCGACCGGCCCATCCTAATGAGGAGGTGGGGGGGCTTTGCCTTGCTGGAACATTGACCGAGTAAGATGTTCCACAACGCTGCTGCCTAGACCTGCCCAGGAGCAAATAAAATGTTCTGACCCATTCTTCATAGCTTTACAAAGAGCAGAGTCACCATGCTTGCAACACTGTGAACCCTACTCATTCACCGATCTGTCTTGCAAGGGATCTGTTCCTTGGGAACATTTTCCTCCTTTAAAATAGAAACCACCTTTGAAACAAAAAACAAAACAAAACAAACAAAAAATAGACTTAACTAAAAACATCTTTCACCATGAAGCTTGCCAAAGCTGTCCACAGTGAGCAAGAGACTGTTACAAAGTGAAGATACGGTTTCAGGACTCCTCCTGGATTCCAAGTTTCCATTGTTTTAGAACTGGGATAGTTCTAAAGACAGACTTGCCTGGTGGTGTCTGCAAGAAGCCAGTCCTGGGCAGCCTACGAATGCTCACTTCTCCAACATTATCAGTGTAAGCCAACAGCACTCAGCCTGCTGGGCAGAATTTCTTTTAAGAATCAAAACAAAATGTAGGAACCTTTTTTAAGGATAGAAGAAAATATGGTAATTCTGTTTCTTAAATTTAGGGATAAGTTAAAACACACACACACACACACACACACACACACAAATCCAAGTAAAAAATAACTACAAGGAATACAGGTTGGTCTAGTCACATATTTCTTTTGTGCAGAGAGACCACACAGAGCTTTTCCACATAGGTGTGGCTTTGCTCTGGCACGGTGTCAGACTGGCACGATGTCACTTCACAGCTCAAGGGAGGAGGAAAGCGAAACAGCAGCTGAGCAGGCACGTAGTAGGGAGACCCGGGTTGCACAACTCATGAGTTTGTTGGTCACCATTTTTATTTTTTTTTTACCATGATTTCCAAATTCTCAGACTTCATTTTGACATGACTGTTCCACAGCTATAATATGAACAGAAGTGCACATACATATGCACTGTCCAAGTCCTCCTCATTCTGGTAATGGCCTCAGCAAGCTCTCTCAGCTCCCAGTCTCCTCCTGCATCACGGGCACAGTGCAGAGCCATCAACAACACGCTCCACATCAAAGGGGAACCTCAGAGGCAGCCTATTAAGGAGAGCTGTACTGTTACTGTCCCAGATCTTTGACTGATTTTTCTAATGAGGATTCTCTTATAAGAAAATAATGTGGATAAAATTACAGGTTGAAAGTTCGATTTTATTTCAAAATGATAAATAAACTGAGGCATAGTTCTGACTATGTACTATTTCAGAAAGGCGTGTGAAGTTAAGAGAAACAGTTTAGAGAGGGCTCCAGTCAGACCCAGGATGCTAATCAAAGCTGTGACTGGCACAGACAGCAGCCTCTGTGATCTTCAGGTTTGTGCAAGTTCTCCATCCTAATCGCTGAGCATCATAAAAAGTAAAAAGTGCTCTTATTCTCATTTTCCCTTGAAATTTTCTTTTTTAAACCAGCAAATAGGAATACTTGTTTTTATGACTTCATTTTTATGAGAACAACAGTTCTATGTCAATTTACTTAGAGAAGGGAGCCCCCAGAGATGTGTTGGTGGTGCTGTGGTCCACCAAGACCCATATCGACAGGCGCTTGCATTGCACATCATCACTTCTACAAAGAGCCATGAAGAATGCTCGTAGACCTACGTATAGCAGTACAGTCCACATGTATTTGATGTGCATCAACACCCGAATCCAGTAATGACAAATAGAACGCCCTCTTGGAAATCATAAAAGGAAGAGTACGAAAAGGAGGGCTGACTCCTCTGGTGCAGCACACTATTTTTAGTGTGCTTTGGAAGGATTAAAAACCATGACACTGCAGTCATTGAATACTGGCCCCCAGTTATATATTTTTTAAGTTGACTTTCTATTAAAATCTTCAAACCTCTGGAGATTGGTGGTACGGTTAAGACTGTATTAAAGATTTTCTTTTCCTCATTAACAATTTCATTAAAAATTTAAAAACTCCGACACCTCCCCAACTGTTATGTTGAAGCCTGATATGTGTCACTATGTCCTGGGACGTGAACCTAATTTTCCAAGTGGACAGGGACACCTGAGTGGCCATTTCCAGTGCTGCAGTTCCTTCCCTCATGATTCTTGCTGCGTCCTCTTCACTGAGGTTTTCCCCTGAGTCATATATTTACTGGAAAGGCTACCTAGGAGGGAGAACAAAATCCAACATAAATGACAATTTACTGGATTGAAGTCATGTAATACTTACTGCCAGCTACTCACAGAAGTATGTCCCACTAGAAAGGGCATTTGCCCTGGGTCAGTAGTTAGCTAGATATGAACAAGTATGCAGACAGGCATTAGACAGTGCTCAGGCGCTGCTTCCTCAGTGCTGCAGTGAGCCTGTTTAATGCAGCTGCAGGCTGTATTCCTAGGCTGGCGCTGAGGCAGGAGGAAACCAACGTTTTGAAAGTTTTTTTACATAGGTCATTCTTTTCATCTGCAACCAAATAGACGACAAAGAGTTCTCTGGCCAGAAATTAATATTTCATACCATTACCCTTTAGAAGTCTAGTAAGATCTTATGGATGTACAGTGAGAAAATAAAATTCACTGTACTTACAGGGAAGGACAGGAATGAGAATTACTTAGTAGTGAAACCAGCCACACCTTACAACACTTACAGTGGAACAAGGCTAGAGATCTGAGAACTCGAGAGAGCACATATAACTACTACTATATAATGAGGGCTTTATTCAAACCAATGAGAAGAATACAAAGCATTTAATAACAGGTATCATGTCAAATACTTAAAAAAAAAAAAAAAAGACAAAGCCTCATTGTGTGGCCTTGGATGGCCTAGAATTCATTATGTAGCCCAGGCTAGCCTGAAACTCACAGAGATTTGTCTGCTTCTGAGTGCTGAGATTAAAGGACTATGCCACCACCACCATACCTGGTTCAAATACATAATATTTGAGGGGAGAAGGAAGCTAGCTTCCTTTTCAGCTGTCCCCTTTGTCATTTCCATGTGAACTGTAGAGTTAAATGTAAATAAAAAGAAAGTAAGAGTATAAGCTGTAGTAGGTATTTTCAAAAGCATGAACACAAGTTTCTTCAAGAAGAAGCAGTGTACAAAGAAATGATGCCTCTGGTGTTTAACCTCACTGTCAGTGTGACCAGGGTTAGAATCACTCAGGGAACACATCTTGGGTGTGTTTGTGAGGGACAGCTGTAACTGAAGGAAGCCCTACCAACCCCAAGCACTGGTGTCACCAGGGAGCTGACCCAGATCTTGAAGATGGGAATGTGAGAATGTCTCTTACATGGAGGTGCACACTGTGCTCTTACAACAGACTCAGCTCTATGGACACAACCATGACTGTGTTCCCACTGGCGACTCTTACAGCAATGCAGGAAGCAAACAAAATGCTGACATCCGTAGCAATGTCAATGTCTCTAAATCCCAATTTTGTACTTTGTAGAATTCCAGTGAGTGGTACATAATCATTACAAATAATTTTCTGTGATATGCCACTATATGATTTTGGGTCACATAATTAAGAATGAGTTCAGGTAACTAAGTGGCACTGTTGCAAAAAATGGACCTTGAGCTTGTTTGGAGGTTCTAGTCAGGGGAGCGCAGCTACTTGTATGCCCTTGACTGAAGACGGGTCCTCCTCTATTCGGGGAAGGTCATCCTCTTTGACTGAGCATGCATCTTTGGGAGGGACACACATGGAGCAGTGAGGGAGGAAGGAGAACCCACCTAGCCATCCAGATCAGCTGAATCAACCCTGGCGATCAATGGGGTGACAGATGTCGCAGCCAGATCGCCCTCACATCTGCAAAAAATGTATCTTCCATTCCTAATCTCTTAAGCAGTGGTTCTCAACCTGTAGGTCATGACTCCTTTGAGGTCAAATGACCCTTTTACAGTGGTCACATATCAGATACTTCAATTAAGATTTGTAACAGTAGCAATATTAGAGTTATGGAGTAGCAATGAAAATAATTTTATGGCTGGGGGTTACAACAACATGAGGAACTGTATTAAAGGATCACAGCATTAGGAAGGTTGAGAACCAGTGATCTTAAGTATTTCTATTGCTTTTCATTTGCTCTCATTAAGACTACTGGAATTTCTTTCTCAGTGTTGACAAACTATAAAACCAAACACATAAGGAATACACACACACA